TTTTGCCTTTGTGAGAGTGCTCAGAGCAGCAGTGATTGGCGTGTCCTCTACGCTTGATTGATTTGAAAATATAGACAAGATGTCGCCCGTATGAAAGCTACCAATTTATAAGCCTTCATCTCAAAACTTCAGAGAGACGCCGGCGCCATCAAAATCAGAGCAGGAGTTTGTAGCTACCAATGGTTCAGAAGTAGAAAAGCCCTGGCAAGCAAAGTGACACCTCGCTAAAGGCTGCCTGCTAGCTCTATAAATCCTCTCCCTTTGTATTCTCCTCCTGCCTCTTTCTTTTTTGTCCCTTTCTCTCTGACTTTGTCTCTTTCTCTGTTTGTCATCCACTTTCTGCCTTTGTCTAATGTTTCAGTCTCTCTATTCCCCTTTGCTGCGCGTCCCTCTTTATTCCGTGAGGCTGTGATGATACACCCTGGAAGTTAACTTGTCCCACAGCTCGCTCCGAAAGGAATGACCTTGATGTAGCTCGCGCGCAGTTCGAGTTTGTGGTGTTTTTCTCGCCGTGTGACTCTTTGCATATTCTTGTTTGTGTTTGAGTTTCTGTGTCTCTGTAATCACTGAATTGTAAAACTATGTGTGAGAGCCTTATCGTGCGCAGGGAGCTTCTCAATTTTTTCCCCCCCTCATTCCGTGCAGTGATAATTCTGTTTGGGAACTGTACCACGTCAAGAGATGGGCAGGGGAGAGGCACATGGAGGTACCATTTAGATAAAACAAATTGCCAGCTGCCGAGCAGGAGCAGTCACCTTTCAGATAAAAAAACCAAAGGGACTGCTGTGAGCAGCGGTGTGCATGTGCCCAAGATTTTGTGCATTTTCACATTTGTGTGTGACTGTGGTATCTAAAGGAGGTGTAGCTCCGTCCTTAGCCAGTAATCCAGGCTTTCCAGGCAGTCTTTTTCCATAACAAGTCACATAGCCATTTTCTCTGGCCTATAACTATAATGCTGTGATGGGACAAGCAGCAGTAATTAAAATCAATAGCCAGGACTTTTCCAGTCTCCGGCAAGGTCACGCGCTGCCCAGTAGAGAGAGAGCGAAGGAGAAACAGAAAGAAGTGGGATTGCATGAATGGGCAGAGCCAAATGGGGAAATATGTGGAGAGGTGAGGTGTCATCTTATTTTAATTAACCTGCACCTTGGAGGGCTGGCACTACTTTAATGCACTAGTGTGGGCACTAGGGGGTTGTACGAGTGTGCATGTGTCTGTCAGTGTGTCTAGTTTGTCCTTGCCAGCCATTACTTCGAGCCCATGTTACCACGCATGAATCAGGTTCCTTCGGGGGGTGGTGGTGGAGTAAAATAGTATATTTTTCTCCATGTTTTTTCAAGATTTACCATTTTCCTTTGTCCAGCTTTAAAGGCTGTAACATGACCCTGTGAGCCTGCTCCAGTAGGCAGAGTGGGTGTGGAGTAGCTAGCCACTAGCTGCATTTGTATTCTGCTGAGGACGCTGCATGCAGAGACATTTTCCTTTCGCCTCCTCTAAAGGAATAATCAGCCTTGCCTTTCACTCCCTTCTGCCTGAAAGAGGCTGAGTGATTTAGCTGGTTTTGTTTCAGTAGGTACCTGCAGGGACATCTTCAAGTGGTTGCATGTATGTGTGTTCACTGTAGCTTTCTGTGTAGGAACTTTGCCGAACCGGGTATATTAGGGGTTTGCACAAACATATGCATTTCTTGTTTGTCCTTCCTGCCCTCACTTTTCAGGCCTGAGTCAGAAAGAAAAGTCTTTTCTGTTAGAGTCAGCACAGAGCAGTCTGTCCTGTTTGTTGATTATCAGGTCCTGTTCCTATCGCAGCCCTGATAGCATCTCCATCTGATCTGTTGCCAGACTCGCTAGCTCACTAGCCAGCCCTGCCATCTCACAGCCGCTCCGCTGTTAGCCGCCACCCCTTCCTGTATATCGCCGTATCAGTCTCAGATCTGCCATCACCCTGCTCTCTCATCTTCTCCTTATCTCCTTATTCCACCTTTCTCCCTGCTCCCACTACCCCAAACCCACCAATCACTCATCGCCCTCATATTTTTCTTCTTTTTATCCTCCACTCTCAGAGCCTCTGCCAAAGCTCCTACGGCAGCACCGTTGTTCCCCATGCTTGGTCGTCTTTACAGAAACTGTCAAGGCAGAGTCAGTGAGTGACAGGACAAGACATGTGAGACTGGTACAAAGATGGAAAAAATGAAAGAGAAGAGAAGAAGAGGGAAACTTGCATGCTAAATTCTCCTCACCAAGTCTTAATAGTGAATACTAAACAAAAGAAAGAGAGGAAGACAAAGACAGACAGATGAAGAGCAGTAAAGGAAAACATGTTGAGTAGGCAGAGAAGTTTTGTGGACTGCAGCAGTGCTGTCCCGGACCCCATCGATCATCCTTAAGGTGCCAGGATCAGTCAGCTTTATTTAGCTCTAAGCCCAACATACACAGTGCACAAGCACAACACACAAACAACAGCACTTAGTATCACACGCGACGCCCAAACGAGATGCTTACATGTTTCTAATGCCATTTTACTCTTCTAGCTTCTCACAAGCTCAAATCATAACTACAGACATAAAATATAAAAACCCGAAAACCATTGAAAAAAAAAAAAGATATATTACAATAAGGTCTTAGTCCTTTGTGGTCACAGAATGTCATTTTAATTACAGAGTTGGAACATGAGTTGGCCACATTTGAAAGTCACAGACATCATCTGTAGAAATTCTCAACTGACCCGACATCAAAATTAAGCTGTCTTGTTTTTGGCATATGTCATTTTTTCTTAATTTAGCAGGAGCGTCGGTGATGATTACCCTTCATTTTATACTCATGCTATAAAAGTGTCACTCAGGCTGATTATTGTTTTGAGTGAAATATCTTTATCTGCTGATTTTACCACAAATCTTTTTTTTGTTTGCCTGCACTGGTTGATGCAGAATCTGCTTATATTTGCCTCTTTTAAAATGCTACGTCAGGAATGCAGATTTAAAGCAAGTCTGAAAGAGAGACATAGTCGAATGTATCCAGTTAGTTTATAATTCATCAGTCTTTGTATTTATTTGCATTATATTGCTGGTGGCTTTTTATTGAATACCAAGTCTATGAGTTTTGTTACATTTTGTTATGTATGTAATTTTGCATTAAATCGCTGTGTTAACTAATTACCACAACCAGTTCTCTTTGTATTTTTTCACTGTTGGCTCTTAATTTTGTAGCTTCAATTATACAGTATCATGCAAAAGTCTTGCCACTCCCGTGTCTTCATATCTGCTGTGTGTTCTTAAATATTTGAGGAAAATTGACATGTGGGGAACAAAAGACAACGTGGCAGGCCTAAAAAAACATCCACAGGAGATAAAAAGGGTCTGAAAGTCACAGAAATAGGAAAGAAACCCAGCAAATAGAAAAAGAAATCAAGAAAAGTACCGTCAGATTTTGATCCACCGTGCAATGACATCTGGAAAGAGTCTGATTGGCAACGGCTTCATTTTTCAGCACAACTACTCCAAAGACACTGGCAGTGCAGTTAAAGCATACCTGGATAGAAAAACACACTGAACGGTCTCATACATGGATTGGCCTCCTGTTGTTTACAGTTCTCGTTAGACTCTGTTTCTGTCCTATATGCACGCATGTATGTTTCAATAAATTGCTGCACCTATTTCTTATTTTCCTAGAAAAATATAAAGATATGACTTTTGCACATTACTGTATATTATAAAATTCTAGAGTTTGCCATAAACAAAACAGAAAAGTAATGCATTTCCAAGCAGATAATTACCAGCTGATATCCTCCTCATTCCTTCAGTTGTGTTCCTCCTTACCAGCTGAACTCTATTTCTCTGGAAGAAGACACGATGGCACATTGATGCAATTTCTGCATTATGATTTCTAAGTGCTCTGTATCCATTACTATACATGTCTCTGTTTTCTTGGAAAAGTGCTTTGGTCTCAGTGCTCCTCATATTTTTGCTTGCGGTTGAAATTGTCCAACAAGTTTTAATATTAGTCAAAGATAACCTGACTAAATACAAAATTCATTTTTTTATGATTTCATTAATTAATAAAGAAAAGTTATCCAGATCTACTTCGTCCTGTGTTAAGTCATGAATTAACTATGATTAACCACCTTTAAAAAAAAGTTTCTCTGAACACACTGGCACTGGATTACTGGCAGACCTGTTAAATCAAGAAATAAAAGCCATTTTCCACCTGCGGAGAAAACTTGGAGCAGTGGTGAACCTTCCCAGGAGTGGCGGGCCGACCAAAATTACTCCAGGAACACGTCGACGACTCCCCCAAGAGTTCACAAAAGAGCCCAGAACAACATTAAAGAACTGCACTGTAAAATATGGTGGTGGTAGTTTGATGGTCTGGGACTGTTGTGCTGCCTTGGGACATGGAAGACTTGCTGTGGTAAATGGAACCATGAATTCTCCCGTCTACCAAAACATTCCGAAGGAGATGTTCGCCCATCGCTTCGTGATCTCAAGCTGAGGCGCACTTGGGTTCTGTAGCAGGTCAATGATCTAAAACACACCTGCAAGTCCACCTCTGAATGGCTTAAGAACGTGTGGCCTAGTCAAAGTCCTGACCTAAATCTGATTGACATGCTGTGGCATGACCTTAAAAATGCTGTAAATGCTCGAAAACCCTCTGATGTGGCTGAATTACAACAATTCTGCAAAGATGAGTGGGACAAAATTCCTCCACAATGCCATAAAAGACTGATTGCCAGTTATCGCAAATGCTTGATCGCAGCTGTTGCTGTTAAGGGTAGACCCTCAGTGATTCGGTTTAGGGAGGCAATACCCTTTCTCATGTAGGTTTGGTTTTTTTTCCACTTATTAATGAAACACACCTTCTTTTAGAAACGGCAGTTTTTGTTTACATGTGTTATCTATCTGATCTGAAACATTTAAGTGTGACAAACATTCAAAAAATAGGAAATCAGCACTGTAAATGACCTTTCTGATTTCTCTGTATTGGGTTTATCTTTTGTCGTTGCAGGCAAAGGCTTCCTGCCAAAAATGTGTACTACTACCGCTGCCCTGACCACCGACGCAACTATGTCATGTCTTTTGCTTTTTGCTTTGACCGAGAGGACGACGTGTATCAGTTTGCCTACTGCTACCCCTACACCTACTCGAGACTGCAGCATTACCTGGCCAGCTTGGAGCGCAGGAACCTGCCTTACCTGCAGAGGGAACAACTGGGACTCAGTGTGGTAAGAGTTAGGAGCTGGAAAGTGCCGTGAGCAGCTGGAGGACAAAGTGTGTGAGGGGTGCTTGTGGTTATGGCTTGAGCAGAGAAGTCGAGTAGTGGTGAAAATTAGAGATGGAAGGGTTATAAGGCATCTTTTTTATGTGTGTTCAGATTAAAGAGGTCCAGATTGGTAACTCGGGTGTGCCTGCCGGTCATAACTTCAGCCTCTTGTGTTATTATTAGGATTGTTGCACTCTGAGATGACAAACTGTAAGCCTCTGGGTGTGTGTGTGTAAATGGCTGTGTGTGTAATCAGCAGAGCTCTCACCTCAGCAGTAGCAGCTAGTGTATCATAGATGCTGCCTCAAGTCTTGTCTGCTCTTATCAAATAATTGTAGGAGAAAAACTCATTAGAAATGCTTGAGAGATTACGACTTTTTCTTCTGTCCTCCAACATTTGTCAGGGAAAGCTTGCTGCAAGGGGTTACTATGAAAGTACAGGTATTTATAAGGAGCACCTGACCATGAAATGCAGAAAGGACTTTGAAAATTAGAAACCATGGCATGAAACAGCTGATAGTATGGTAAAAAAAAAAAAAAAAAAAGCAGTAATATCTCTATAAACTAAAGATCTCTTGACCTACAATGATAATAACAGTGTGAAACTGGGTGTTTCATATTCTGATTATGGTAACATTTGTGGTAAGATCCTTCTGTGTAATTCCAGCGTTGACTTGGTGAGGTTATTCGGTGTAAAAGCTTACACTGATGTCAAAGAGAAACTTGCTGCTTTGATGTACGACTGTCAGCAATAGTGGGAAATAGTGAGACACTTTTGGGCCGTCGTTTCAGGATATGATTAATGATTGAGTCGTGATGATTCTAAAATAGATGACATAAATCTAGTGGGTTTCTTTTAACAGACTGGCACGGTTTAATCAAGCATTTATAACTGCATATGGCTGACTAGCATCAACGTCAACATTTAGCTAATTAGCCTGTCATTACATAATACAAGTTAGCAAAGCAGCTGTTCTACTTATCCTATATTTATACTAGTGCTGTTTACACAACACAAAACTTTTTCTAAATAAAACACAATTAAATAGACGCACAGTTAACATTGTGCTAACACGGAGTCCCTGCAGTTTGCTGCTGTGATCTTTGCATTTCTTTCCCATGTCACATAACCCTCCTCGTATGTCTGTGTTTTCTTGCATTGTTACGTAGATGCTTCACTCTGCGTAGTCAGTATCTCTTTGGTCGGTTTGCAGCGGCTCTGGGTCAGGTTATCACAAGGCGGTACGCTCGAATCATCACACAACACCTTGTGATTGCAGCTCTAAATGGAGACCCATGTTTATAGCCCATTGCTGCCATGTCTAAATATAAGGACGTTTTTCATTGTTTGGAAAAAAAAATTTTTCCCCCAAACTGGAGTCTTTCCACTATTAAGAAGTACTTTAGGTGCCTAAAGTGATGCAAACATCAAGTGACATGGAAGGTAAACATGTAGTCATGTAAATAAGAACATTTTTCTATGCAGTCCTTTGAAAAACTTACTGTTTCCGTATGAATTTAGAGGGTAAGTAGCAGCCCGGAGAAAACCTTTTCTCTCTAAAAGAAACACCACAAATTTTGGACAGGCAAGTAAACAAAAGTGGAAATACCTGGCTGTGTTGGATGAAAACCAAACACAAAACACCTCACACCAAGTGTCACACGGTGGTGGATGGGTTGTTGTGCTGCCACAGAACCTGGAGACCTTGGAGTCACTGATTCAACCATGAAATCTTCTTCTAATGTGAGGCCACTGTTACGGCTGAGAGGGCCAGGCTGTGGGTGTGGACTCAAATGCAGACACAGAGGGAGGCAAAACGGGCGTGAACACAGTGCTTTATTTACAGTGCCTAGTTAGGGGGTTGGGAAGCGCATCTGTAACCGGAAGGTCGCCGGTTCGATCCCCGGGCTCTCTGTCCTGGTCGTTGTGTCCTTGGGCAAGACACTTTACCCTACTGCCTACTGATGTTGGCCAGAGGGGCCAACGGCGCGATATGGTAGCCTCGCCTCTGTCAGTCTGCCCCAGGGCAGCTGTGGCTACAACCGTAGCTTGCCTCCACCAGTGTGTGAATGTGAGAGTGAATGAATAGTGGTATTGTAAAGCGCTTTGGGTGCCTTGAAAAGCGCTATATAAATCCATTATTATTATTATTATTATTGTTAAATTACAGAGCAGGAAACTATGAATGCTATGAACTGTGGAAGCTATGAACTGAGAACTATGAGGCCAAACTATGAACATGAAACTCTGACTGAATGCTATGACTAGGTGCAAGATTTCATAGACGGATCCTGGGAATGGAAAAAGGGGCAGCGGCTTGGGTGGAGGTACACAGTCACTATAATGAGAAGAGACAGGCAGTCAGTGGCAGTCTAGTGAATCATAGCCGAAGGATTAGACTGTGGTGGTTAGGGCGTAGGTGTAGATACTGTAGGTTCAGTGAATGCTTAAATTGCATTGATTAGAATATACTGGACATTCAAAGCTAAGATTCAGCGCACTGTGTTAGAGGCTGGGATTTGATGAATTCATCATATATACAACCTTTGATCATCATTTATGTCCAGTTGAGAATGAATCTGTGCACTCACATATTAAATGAACTGAAATCAGTAGTGTGATCTCCAGTCTTGATATAATGAATGAGAGAACTGACAGCTGTTATTTTAATCAGCCTGTCTCAGTTGATTTAACTCTAAGTATCACAAAGTAATGTGGTAACATCTGGACTGACGAGTTTACTGTCAGCATTTTAATCGCTAGTTTAAAGGCTGTAGGCTGCAGCCATTGCTCTAACACTGTATAAATGTAACAGGCCTCAGTGCTGGTTCTAATAGTCTGAGCTGCTTCCAGCTTTATTTGTGAAGAGCACAGCAGCTTACAACACACGTAGCTAGCTCGTACAGCGGCGACGTAAAATGTTCATAAGCTAAGATGACCTTAAAATAACGGGGCTACGTGCGGTGATGCTAGCGTTAGCCATGTTAGCACGTTATCTTCAACAGGTGGTCAGACTGCGTAAACAGGCACTCAGTCAGAGGTTGCGCTGCAGGGTCCCTTCATTCTTCACATATCCGTGTCGAGCCGAGTGTAAATCCCGAGGCTGAACGGCCTTTGTACAAGCACACACGCTTCTTAGCAGGCCGAAGCTATGAGCTAGCAAAATCCAGGCAGACAACCTGTGTCTGTCCAACCAATCAGAGAGCTCCTTACATCCGGTGTGGCTAATTTGAATAGCAGCAGGATTTTTAAAATGAAGTTACAATTCAGCCTGTGCGTTTCACTGTTTTCGCTTCATTTTTAAGCGACTTGTTCTGCGAGCAAAACTGCAGGGAACAGAAAGAGGGCAGGCTTGGTAGATTTGGCTCACAGGATCAGTATTAGTATTCATAGTCATTGAGACGTTTTATGACCATATTTTTCTCTTTATGTTCTCCGGTCCTGGGTGGCAGACAGCCTAGCCCCGCCCTCTCATACCCTTTTTTCTCCTGCCATTACCTGCCCTTGTCTCTCACAGACACATATGCTACTCCACACATACAGGTCAGGGAGAAAGGGATGAGAAGGGATGAGGAGAGCTTTCTGGCTGCATCAAAGTTTAAAGACGGATTGCTGTAATTTCCAAGGCAGAGTCTATGGAAACGACAGGGACACCACAATAGCTTTAACCTTCTAATGGGTACAGTTATCTCATAAGGATGGAAATAAGAGCCAGGGCCATTTGCACTGGCATTCTTCTATCTTGCTGACTAATTTGTTTTATGTAATGTATTCCTCTGAATAAAATCTCTGCCATCCAGCCGGCACTGGGAGCGTCAGATACTGTACCAAAAAAGCAGAAAAATTGTAGTTGTCTTCTTTCTTTTCCTTCTTTTTTTTTTTTTTTTTTTTTTTACCTCCAGCTCTTTTCATTATTAAGTGTTTACTGATTTATAAGACAGGTTGTTCTTCTTTTCTTTTCTTTTTTTAACCCAAATCAGGTTTCACTAAAGCAGAGTGATTTGAATTTAATGTGTAATTACATTGAACCAGACAGAATGTATTCCAGTTGAGGTGCACTGGAAAAGACAATTTAATTAAGAGAGAAAGCGAGAGATTGAAATAGAGGGACAGAGACTGACAGAGAGATGTGGGATGAATGAAAAGGGCAAGCCTGGAGGATGTGAATATAACTTTGAGATACTCAGTTCTGAATTATTTTCACTTTCACCTAGTTTTTCGCCTGCTAATTAAGACCTTACAGTAATACTGGGATTCACCTAACTTTCCTTACTGCATATAATAGTGAATAGAAACTCCCTACACCTCCCGCGAGAAATTTCTTTACTGCACATCACCTGACATGATAAAAAAACAATCCTATCATCTTGTTTCTTTTTATCATCATTAAAAGCAAAAGAGAACGCGAACAGTTATTATCTTAACATTGGAGTCTGGAAAATCCCTTAAAGTCTCCCTAATCGACTTAAACGGTAGATATTTACTACATGTATTTAGCTACATTGTAATAAATATAATACAGCTTTGTTTTGGTTTTTTTGCAAGCATGTTTGTCAGAATCTCTTGTTTGTGCTTCCTTCCTACCGTATCTTACATATTAGCAAAGCCGTTCAATCTTGTTTTTTTCCATCTAAGAAATACTGATAAATGTGTTCATTTTTCAGCTTCTGAGACACCAAATCATCATATATGCTTTCATTTCCTCACGCATAGATTAAAGTATTGTATCACCTCACCAGCTGGAAGCTATCAGAAAATAACACTGACTTCAAACTGTACTAAAAAAAAAAAAACCTGAGCAACAAATACACAACACGTTCAAGCTTTTTTTTGGCTACTTTATTATAGATTTAGCATGATTTCTGTCCTCTGACTCTTCTCTTCTCATATAATCTCTTACAAGAGATGTCCTTTCTCACATGTTGCTCACAGCAGTAGAAATCTGTTTGATGTCCACCGAT